AACAGAGAAATTAAAAGTCTAAAAATTTGTCAAATTATAAGTAGAACTAGCCGTATGTTAAATGATCCAAAATTTTACTTTTGTTTTCCTCTTCCCCACTTGCAACTCCCATTTCATGCAATTACTAAAATCATGGACAATTTCTTGGAGAAACGAAATATATCAACAGTTAACAGAATCAGAATTCTATCCAGATTTTGCTATTTACTCCATTATAAACCAACTCACATCCATAATTGAAAGTTTGAAACTAAGTCTTAAAATCCAACTAAAACAAACCCAAGGTGATTCAACAAGACAACAGAAAGATAAAATCTTGCCTTTTTCAACTTTTTCTTTATATTTGGCATGTGATATGTTATAAGACCTAAAATTATATTTTTGACATGGCAAAATTATCTCCATTTAAAAATATTTCACACGTAGTGCAATCTTAAACTTTTGCAATTTACATCGTAATCAAATGGACGGAGTTAATTGACTCAACTTCTTAATTAGAACAATCCTCCAAAAAAGGGGATATCTGTATCGGGCAACCAAGCATCTCCCATGGTGAAGTTAAACACGGTAAAATTCACAGCCTGCGCAGCATCCATCACTTTATATCCCAGCCAATGCACCCTCATGCTCGTATTCGCCCCCGGTCCGTAATTCGCAAACTCCCCGTAAAACAACGTGTCCAGCCCGTCTGTCCCATTCCACTCAAGCCACCCCGCCGGATGGATCACCTCGCCGATGAATGACTCCATGAATACAGTCCTAGAGTACGCCTTCCACGGTCGACCCAGATAACTTGGTGCGAAACTCAAGTTCATGTTCAAATCGGGTGCAGCATTGATCGTGCAGTTCTGGATTGAAATGCCAGTGTTCTGATAGGGGTCAGTTCTGCCCTGCGCCGTGAAAGCGTTTTTCTGGTACGGAAGGGGTTTCCGCGCGTATAAGTTGCAGTTTTGGAATACTGCGGCGGCGTTTCCAAAGATGAAATCAACGGTCCCGTAGATGTCGCAGTCTCTGTAGAATTGACGGAGAGAGTGGACGTAAAGAGTGTCTTGATATCCTTCAAAACGGCAGCGGTAAAAGGTGGAGCAGTCGGCACTGTTCCTCACGGCCACCGCTTGGTGCTTCTCTGGTCCTGCTGTGTTCCTGAATGTAATATCGACAGCAACAAATCTCTCCCCGGAAACAGCTGCAACGTTAAAAATGATTAATTAATTAATTTAGAAATTTACCAGAGAACAACTCAGCATATACGTACCAAAGGTTGAGGAATTGTAAGTTGTCCAGTTATCGACCCTATTGTGACTTCCGGTGATAATGGTCTTATTTATGCCATCTCCGATGAGCAGGATGTTCTTCTTGTCTTTTGGGACGACGACGTACTCCTCATAGTATCCTTCTCTTGCATACACCACGAAATAGCCATTTCCAGGCTCCGAATCGCTCGGTGCTGACGCAATGGCGTCGCTGATGTTCGTGAACGTGTGATTGCCATCGGGGCTAACAATAACAGTATTGTTTATAAGAATTCCGTGGCCGGATAATTCAGAGAGCACCCGTTCACCGCTGCTACTCCGTCGTGACGATTTCCGAAGAGCCTGAACCAGAACCAAATTATTGGAAAATTAAAATTAAATCATATGATAATAACGTGCTTTTTTAATTTGTTTGAATTATATTATTTTACCCATAATTGGCCATAACCATTAAAACATCCCACGAGGAGATATTAAAACAGGGTCCATAAGGTCGTTCGCATGAATAAATCGGGCATTTAGTGTGCATAGAAAACATGGCCCACGTGACTTTCGAAAGTCAAGTCATGCCTGGTCTGGTCCACGTAATGCGACAACGTCGTTTAAGAGATCTAAGATAGATCTGTTTAGTGGCAATTTGGTTCGGACTTCGGAGCACGTGGGTTTTTTTTTTTTTAATATATATTGAAATTATCTAGGGGGAAGAAAGTAAAAAAAGATTTTCGTGGATTTCGAATCCATAATTTAGAAGAGATGAACTCAGAATCCATATCATTGAATCCGAGCAGGTTGTTTCAGAGCACGTGGTTTATTCTTAAACTTGCTTAAAATAAGATGTAGAAATTTATCATATGCATTTTTAAGATACAAAGTAAAATTACTTTAAAAAGGTTAATTTATATAAAAAATATAAAAATTAATATTTTTTTAATATTATTAACATGTATATAAATTTAATTAAATAATTAATGAATTAAAAATTAATTTTTATTTTTTAATATAAATTTAT